AGCCTTGTTGTTTCATCACAGACCATTTTCTAATCAGTTCCCTGTTGGCCTGGAGGAAATGTCATCCCGCAGTATTGCTTACAGCGTAGGGTCCCGGACACGGCCGTGTGGTAACACTAGCCACCTGTCTGCACGCTAATGAATTCTCCCCAAACCGTTCACCTCTGCGGGCCTGGTCTGGGCTGCTCAGCTGCTGCATCCGGGACTAATCTTGTTAGTCAAACGCGTGCACGAACCGCAGCTCCAGTGGCCTGAGAAACGCTTGTGTCTGACGTCTGAGAGATCTGGGGCCATATGCTGTATGATTGGGTTTTCATTCGATCGAGCCATGATGAGCAGTTCCCGCTCCCACTACGCTGATAATATCTCAGGAGGCCCTTGAGATTAAGAACACCCAGCAAAGAGGGATATTGTGAATAATTCCTTATTTTAATCCTCACAGGCAGCCAGAGTCTGTTTGCTGTTCCTCAGACACGTCTAATCTCCTGATGACACTGATCCATGTGGAAGCAAACACCTGTTCTCTCGCACGATTAAAGAGCTTCTCGATATGAACCACGATAAACCGCCGTCGCCATTTTGAGGAAACCTTTGTGGGAATTGTCATATTACCTGCTGTCCAACGTTCACACCCCACACAAACACTTAAATAATTGTGATTTTTCATAGATTAGCAGCTCCTCACATCAGCCTATAAGTTAAACAACTCAGCAGCAGAATAAATGCATGATGTGTTTTTACATCATAAATTATATCTACTGTCCACTGTTTACTTGGGTCATTCTCAGAAAATGGTGCTATTTGGTGACAAAGACTTTTGTGACGTCACTTCCTCAGGTATGATTTAACAAAGATCACAAGACGCTTATTAAAGGAGAATTTCACAGCTTAAGAGGGATGAACAGAAACTCCAGGACATACACCCCTTATGAAAATTAACCATGTTTTTTTTTAAATACATTTGTAAGTTCTGAAGTAGACTACAAGTGTGCATTCAAAACAATTAGGTGCAATTCCTTTTCACAAGGGGTGCCAACACTTCAGGTTCCTGTATTGATATTTCAGGCCTATTTAGTGTAAGTGTGCCTGCACTCACGTAGGTTCTTCTACGTGTTGTGAAGCGAACTAAGAGCCTGAAACTTGAAATTGCTGACATTGTTGGTGAACCATGGTTAATTTGTAGTTACCATGGTTTAACTATTGTAACCATGGTATTTTGTTTGTATTTGTAGTAAAACAGTACATGCAGATAATATAATATTAATAAAATAAAAGGCCACTTAAGTGATTTAAAGAGAGACACTTTAATGACTGTTTCTAAACACACTTACTGTAAGTACACTTTTAAAAAGCACACTTTGTAATAATGTCAAATTAAGCGGTTGCTATGGGGAACGCCTTCAGTATGACCGGTGTCTGAAGCAAATGTCTAAACACGACAATAACATTGGCCGGCAACAGCCAATGTCGGAAGAGCAGGAGAATGACTGATGTGGACGAAATTGAAACTGAAATCAGTCCTCCTGCCCTGTGTACGCTGAGCTGCTGGAGGTTATGGAACATGCCACGGCGAGGCTTGACTTGCCGTGGAAGTGGGTCAGGAAGGAAACTGCTTGGGGCTGTCTGGACATGCGTTACCTCTCTGGCCATAGCCCTCCAGCTCAAGTGAGCCTTCAATTCCTTCCGATCTCCATGTGGAGATTGAGAAGGTTTGGAAAAATCTGTTTTCCTTGTGCATCCATAGATTCCAGCATAGTAGTTATGATAATATTGAAGGGATGCGTGAGTACAGATATGAGATTATGCCTCAGGTTGAAGAGACGTTAGCTTGCTATCTGGGAAAAACATCTTCTCTTAAGGCTCCCTCTTTGCCATCCAAACTCCTTCAAGATACATCTTGTTTGAATGGCAGAGCTTACGCAGCAGCATTGAATACCATGGTGATCCTCCAAACTTATCAGGCTGATCTGCTGAAAGACCTGGATAAGGGTCAGGGTCTTTACCCTGATGAGGTAGCAGAACTGAGTCACACCAAAGATCTCGCACTCCGCGCTACGAAACAGACCGCTACTGCCATTGGCAGGTCCATGGTGGTAACAGAGCGGCAACTCGGGGTGAACCTGGCTGATATCGGGATGAACGAGAAGGGCTGTCTCCTCACTGTGGACGGAGCATGTAAGTTCTCCTCTCGATCCTCTCAATCCGAGAACCAAGGACTCTGCTCCCGGAACTCTGTGCACAGTCATACCAGGTTGTTAGGCCATCTTTTTGCCTCTCTGTTCGGCTGCTCCTGTAATCAGGCTTGGCAGTTCTCCCCTCACTCTAGAGGGTCACCTATGAGCATGCCCCTTCCAGGATATTTCTGAAAATTTCTCAGAAAATTTCTGAGAGTTGAGTCATCCACTCCCTGGAGCTCTGTGAGGCAGCCATACCAGGTTGTTAGGCCAGCTTTTGCCTCTCTGTTAGACTGCTTTTATGTTTGAGTTTAGCAGTGCTCCCCTCACTCTAGAGGGTCACCTATGAGCATGCCACTCCCAAGGTGATAGTCTGAATTCCCCTCTCCTTTCTGAGAGTCAAGTCCTCCACTCCCAGGAGCTCAAAGAGTCCAGCACTTAGCTCCCTAGAGCTCCATGATGCATACATACCAGGTCTCTAGGCCTCTTCATGGACTCTATAATAGCACTAAATGCTTTCTAAAGTCCATGTTTAGGCTAAGTTCGCACATTGATCATCCTGTGCACTTTCTAAAAACATTTTGTTAAAGGTCATACGCAGCCAGCTTTGTACCCTTTCTCCAAGTTGGTCAAACCCCGGTTTTCACCTTGGGCCCCTCTCTAGATATGTTTCCTTAGTGATACCATAACAAATGGTTGCCATCTTTTGGGAAGTCTCTGTCTCGGGTACAGTGGAGGTGTGTAGTGCCGGTCCCTTGCACGCATCAGTGCAAACAGGTAGATCTTTGTAGCCTCACTGGGAGAATGAGGGGTTCATGTATGAAGTCCCCTTAAGTGACAGACCAGGGTCTGGTAATATTGTGAGCCTAGACGCCCAGCCATATCCCCTTAAAATAATCACATTGTTGTCTGATTCTTAGCCTTTGAGCTCTGCCCTGGAACCAGGCTTTGTTTGCCTAGCCCGTAACAGGCTAGTTATTTTGGGCACGCAGCTCAGGCCTTTGGCCGAAAGGGATATCGTCACTAACAGCTGCGATGCGTCCAAAGGGGCAAATCCCATGGCTCGGGAGAGTTGGTACTTAGTGCTGGCCTTGGTGTCATGTCCTCGGTTTGATCACCCTGTCCTTTGGTTGTCGTGTTTTGTATCTGTCTGCATGTTGTGAGCACATGGTGTTTTGTTTTGATCATTCACCATGTACTCCTCTGTGCCTTCGCTCCCTTCCTCTCGTTACCACCCTTACTGCTCATAATTAGTTGATTTCGCTCACCTGAATTCAATGTTTTGTTCATCTCTCGCTCTATTTATTCCCCTCTTGTGTGTCGTCTGGTGCCAGATCGTTGATTGCCAGTTTGCCAATGCTCAGCCGCCCCGTCTGGTCCTGTCTAGTCCTGTTAAGTCATGCCATTGTCGGCTCCCTGTCAGGTTTTTTGTTGCTTCTTCCAGTTGTTTTGTTTTTCTATTTCTCCTTCCTCGTTTCCTAGACCGGGCATCTGCATCCCCACAGAAGTTCTCTCGCTCCACTCGGACGCCGGCTCCCTCGCTTCTTCCTTCCCTCTCCACTCTCTAATTCCCTATGCGGCCGCGCCATTGAGTGCCCTCTGCCGGGTGTTTTTTGCAAGGACGTTTTTGTTTGCTCATTGTTTCTGTGGGACTATTATTTTCCTAAATACCCCGGCTGGATTTTTGTTCTTTTGAGGAATTTCCCTTTTTATTTGGACTTATTAAAAATAAACTGTTTTCCTGCTGAAGCTTGCATCTGTGTCCATGTTGTGTTCCTGAGAACGCCTCCAAAGCTACTTATAATTGAGAAATACAACAAGCTATTCATCATAAGAGACAAATAAACAGAGGAAGTGCTCATAATACAAAGTTTCACACATTATTCAGATTAGAACAAGCTAGAGAGGGAAAGTGATGGATATTCTATTTAATGATTTGTCAGTCATATATTGTGTGCATCTCTAATGAATACTCACACAAATCTCGTGATTCCTAATTGTGATACTGAACTAGTTTATAATTTTCATTCTTCAAACTTTTTGAAATACCATATAGGCCAGCAGTCAGCAATCTATGGTACACAAAGGGATAATCACTGGCACGCAAGCAATAAGGATATACTGCATATCGATGTACATGTTGAGGTAATCATTCCTCATAGTTGCACAGCCTGTTAGGATCTATAAATACTATTAAAGTGTTAGAATTAAACCTGCGCTAGTCTACAGATGCACGTGACTCCAGGTGTTGTGACAAATAATGCTACCTATCAGATTATGCTACCAACTGTATTTTTAATATCGTAAGGTTAGGTTTAGGTTTGGGGTAGGTGTAGGTCGAATTACGGTCCCTGCTGTTTTAATGGGAGGTGGCAAAATTTGACAGGGTAAAAAAAATCATCAAAATTGTTGTGCCCAGTTTTGACGCCCTGTCTAATTATTACCCCCCTTGTTGAAGTCACTATCTGATTGCCTAATTCTTACCCACCCCTAATCCTAACCCCTCCCCACACCTACTCCTAAACCTGTCAATAGGGGGTAATAATCTAGCACCTGCAAACCATTCGCACAATCGCTGCGCATACAAGGGCTTCAGATCAATTTTCAGCTGTCTAACTGCGCTTATCAATGTCAAAATGACTGAGATGACCAATCAAATCAAAGTTGGCTGTGTATACCGTTCACAGAAGCAGAGCGCAATTTCCAGTTTGAAGCATCAGTTTAACGTTGAAAGAGAACGAGGTAAGATGGACGTTGCAAATCATTTAATATTAGTCAACTGTTCTTAACATTAAATGTTTTTGTTTGGCAGTATTTTCACACAGTTTTGTGTGTGTGTGTGTGTGTGTGTTAATTAACCTTCTGGGTTCTGAGGGTGTTTTGGGGCCCTGGAGAAGTTTTGACATGCCCTGACATTTGTGTTTTTTCAGTGTCTTAAAAACATAATTGGCTAAAGTCTGATAACACTGTATTCAGCACAAACTGGGCTACAATAATATGTGAGCAGCATGAATGTACATGTTTTTGAGAAAACAACGTTTATGCGTGGTTAGTGAAAAACAAAAAATTTTAAGTCACTGAAATAAGGCCATAAAACACATACAGAACATTTGTTCACAAGACTTTTAAGAACTGAATGTGGCAAACTAGAGTTTTTGCTACAAAATGATGTGAAAATTGTTATTTGAATTATTTGTATTTTATTTACAACACAGTATAATAAAAATATACACAGTGAAGGTCAATTAGACCCTTTGCAGTTTCAAACAATAACTTATTCTTATCTGCACGATAAAAAATGACAGAGTATTTTTAGTTCTTTTAGCGGTCATAAAGAAAATACAAGATAGACAGCACCGGTGTGGGCTTCGACCCCAGAGGGTTAATATAACACTCACTGTAGTTTCTTCAGTTTACAGTGTGGATCCTCCAGTAGAGCAGAGAGCAGCTTCACTCCTGAATCTCCTGGATTATTACAGTTCAGATTCAGTTCTGTCAGGTGTGAGGGGTTTGATCTCAGAGCTAAAATCAAAGCAGCACAGCCTTTCTCTCCAATACTGCAGCTCCACAGCCTGCAGAGAGAAAGAGAAAAACAAGTAAAGTCAATAATTAATAGTCATGTTTTAAAGATTTGTTACTGAAACAATGTAACACTACTCATCTCCATCTCTTCAATAAAAATGTGTCAGATTTGAGTGTTTGTAAATCTTTATAAAGTGATGAATATTCTACACTGTAAAATTTTTTTAGTAAGTATTATGACATTAATGACACATTACAGTAAATCACATTTTTTTATGCAGAAAAATTACAGTATTTTTATACAGTATTCAGAACCATTCATCAATCATGGTGAGTAATGGCTTCTTCTCCTGCTATTATTGTTTGCACTGCTTGCCACATGTATAGTTTAGCTCTCTCTGTCAGTGACGAGGGATTCGCATGTCATAAATGCAGGGAAATAATTAGACTGACAGAGAAGATTTCAGATTTAGAGACACGCATCCAAACTTTAATTGAGGACAGTAAGAATGTGAGGGCTGTATATACGGCGTTGGATGCGACTAGCTCAGGGAGTCCTATACAATGTTCGGTTCCGATTACAGAGCCTCCGCAGCAGGGAAACTGGGTGAATGTGAGGTGGCATAGTCGCGGGTCAAAACACCGCTCTTCCATTCCGATCAAAACATTAAACAGGTTTTCCCCACTCAGTGACGCACCCGCTGAGAAACCTGCTCTAGTTATTGGCGATTCTATGGTACGGAACGTGAACATAGAGACACCAGCCACCATAGTCCAATGTTTACCGGAAGCCAGAGCGCCTGACATCTTGGCAAATTTAAAAGTGCTGGCTAATGCTAAATGTAAATTCAGTAAGATTGTTATTCACGCCGCCGCTAATGATGTTCGACTTCTCCAGTCAGAGATCACTAAAAATAACATTAAAGAGGTGTGTGATCTTGCAAGTACTATGTCAGACACTGTAATATGCTCTGGTCCCCTCCCTGCTTACCGTGGTGATGAGATACATAGTAGACTGTCATCACTCAATGGTTGGATGTCTAAATGGTGCCCGCAGAATAACATATAGAGACTGTGTCTGCTCCCTGAACTAGAAAATACAAAAAACGTCCAAACCAATTTAAGAGTACCAATTTAATTGATGTTCTACAAATAAAAAAACAGATGTAATACAGATGGTAGTACTATGAGAAAGTATGGTAGAACCATCACTTCTACCACAAAAGACTGCTTTGTAAGTAATCTTCCTGATTTATCTCAATTCCTTAGCATATCCAATTGCTCAGAACAACTTGATGATGTAACAGAATCTATGGACTCTCTCTTTTCTAGCATTTTAAATACGGTTGCTCCTTTATGCTTAAGGAACATTAAGGAAAACAGTCTTGACACAGTGGTATAATGAGCACACTCGCACCCTAAAGAGAGCAGCCCGGAAAACGGAGCGCAGCTGGAGGAAAACAAAACTAGAGGTATTTCGTATTGCTTGGCGGGAAAGTACCCTATCCTACAGAAAAGCATTAAAAACTGCTAGATCTGATTACTTTTTGTCTCTTTTAGAAGAAAACAAACATAACCCCAGGTATTTATTCAACACAGTGGCTAAATTAACAAAAAATAAAGCATCAACAGGTGTTGACATTTCCCAACAGCACAGCAGTAAATACTTTATTAACTACTTTACTTCCAAGATCGATACTATTAATTAATTAATTAATTCTACTATTAGAGATAAAATTGTAACCATGCAGCCATCAGCTACAGTATCGCATCAGATAGTGTGCTATAGATCCCCTGAGGAACAATTCCACTCATTCTCTACTATAAGAGAGTAAGAATTGTATAAACTTGTTAAATGATCTAAACCAACAACATGTATGTTAGACCCTATTCTCTAATTCAATTCTCTTCACAACACTCCCACTGACCGTCTCCAACCTTCACATAAAAACACAAGAAGAGAGACAAATTCTAATTAATATATGATGGTCAAAAGTAGTTTTTTTTCTTAATTTTGACGGTTTTGTTGCATTTGTTACATCAGACTGTTACATCCGAGGACGTATCCAAGGTGTTTTATAATTGTGTACATGTGTTGGATGTGGTTTTGTTTGCTTTCCTTCTATCTCTCTCCCTCCCTCTCTCTCCCTCGTCACGAGACAGGTGTTCCAACCAGCTGTGTTCAATCTGGTGATGCCCGCTGTGATTGGTTGATGCCGGGAAGGGGCAGAAGTATAAGAAGTGGTGGATCTGTGACGAAAGGGAGAGAGAGACTTCTTTCCGCCAGGGCTACTCTTCCTCCTGATTGCCCAGATTCATTTGTTGCTTTTGGTTGATTTAGTTCTGAGTAAGTGAACTCAGGACTTTGTTGTGCTCTTGAGCAGGAAGATAACTGAAGTTGTTTAAAACCATTTTGATTATTTTTGTTTAACGTTAACTATGTTTGTTAGTGTTCTTATGTTCTTTTGGATTTAAGGGAATGTAGGGGGAGGGTGCCATTTTCGTTTGTAATTCTTGTTTTCTCCTGGTTGTGGGTAGACAGGAAGAGAGGGAAGTTTTTGTGTATTTTATTTTCGGATTATCTTTCTCTAGGTAATTTATAAATATCCTTGGGTTAGTTAGTTTGGTTTTGTTTGTTGTTTTGGCCTAGCTCTCCCCTGAAGTCTTTGTTCCCCATATGTTTGTTAATACTTCCTTTGAGATTTATTGTTTGGTTACCTTTTTCTTATATTTTCAAATTAAAAGAGATTAATTTGAATTGGTGTTTGTGTTGACTCTGGGTCAGGAGGTTGGATTGCCCTGGTTCTTTCTCCAAGGTTCTTTTTTTTTCTTTAGATGTTTATCTTTTTTTGTTACTGGCTCCCCAGCCCTAGATGGGAAGTTATGTTACACATGGTTCAAATCGTACTTATCTGACCGCCATCAATTCGTAGCAGTGAATGAATATCGATCACAAGTGCAGTATGGAGTACCTCGAGGCTCAGTACTAGGGCTGTAACTTTTCACGCTTTACATGTTACCCTTGGGAGAAATCATCAGGAAACACAGCTTTCACTGTTATGCTGATGATACTCAGCTCTATATTTCTTAGCGGCCCGGCGAAACATACCAATTTGAAAAACTAATTGAATGCATAGTCGATATAAATAACTGGATGATGAGTAATTTCTTTCTGCTTAATTCTGAAAAAAAACAGAGGCGTTAATTATAGGACCTAAAAACTCTGCATGTAATAACCTAGAACACTGTCTAAGACTCGATGGCTGCTCTGTGTGCAACCTAGGTGTGCTATTTGATAGCAATCTTTCCTTTGATAGCCACGTTTCTAGCATTTGTAAAACTGCATTTTTCCATCTCAAAAATTTGTCCCCTGAGGGTTGGTTTACTGGAGGGTTTGTCATCACTGTTACCCTCAGACTGCCCGTGCTACTGCCTGAAGTAGCCCCCGCCTGACTGCCCTAATGTCGAGAACTAGATAGAGGCAAAGGCAACGGAGCTCCGCCCCTTTGAGGAAACGGAGCTTGGCCCACGACTCCGAGATGATCATCTGAAGCGCACAGGGGAGATGGCCGCCTGCAACACAAACAGGGGGGTAGTGCTGCCTGATGTGTGCAACCCACTCGACACGGGAAACCACCACCGCTGAAGCACCGTACCGCCAACACGAAGAGCTCTAAAAGAGCACAGTCTTCTTCTCTCAGTAGAGCAGTCAGGAGCAGAACGATTTGATCGCTCGGCTCCGAAAAACTGAATATGCGCTGCAGCGACTTCCTACTTATACTCACGCTGTGATCAGATTTTATTGCCAAATATTGGCAATAGGTGGTCATACTCCAAACAATACAAACAGTTTGGAGTGTACATTCCTTCATCTTGATTTCCATCATCTCAGACATTTCACACAGTACCCGTGTTGATTTTTACAGGAAATTTTGATTTAGTTTTAGTCTTTTGACTAAAATTCCACATAGTTTTAGTCATATGTTAGTCATTTGAATTGTTTTCGTTTTAGTCTAGTTTTAGTCAACTAAATATAAGATTTTAGTCGACTAAATATACAGTAGATTTATTTGAATATGTTACATCCGAGGACATAGCCGGGAAGCCGGGAAGGACCAGAAATATAAGAAGTGGTGGATCTGTGAAGAAGGCAGAGAGAGACTTCTTTCCACCAGGGCTACTCTTCCTCCTGGTTGCCCAGATTCATTTGTTTGGGTTTGGTTGATTTAGTTCTGAGTAAGTGAACTCAGGACTTTGTTGTGTTTTTGAGCAGAAAGAGAACTAAAAACCATTAAACCATTTTGATTATTTTTGTTTAACGTTAACTATGTTTGTTAGTGTTCTTATGTTCTTTTGGATTTAAAGGGGGAGGGGGGGAGGGTGCCGTTTTTGTTTGTAATTCTTGTTTTCTCCTGGTTATGGGCAGACAGGAAGAGAGGGAAGTTTTTGTGTATTTTATTTTCGGATTATCTTTCTCTAGGTAACTTATAAATATCCTTGGGTTAGTTAGTTTGGTTTTGTTTGTTGTTTTGGCCTAGCTCTCCCCTGAAGTTTTGTTCCCTATATGTTTGTTAATACTTCCTTTGAGATTTGTTGTTTCTGTTTGCCTTTTTCTTACCTTTTTCAAATTAAAAGAGATTAATTTGAATTGGTGTTTGTGTTGACTCTGGGTCAGGAGGTTGGATTGCCCTGGTTCTTTCTCCAAGGTTCTTTATTTTTCTTTATCTTTTTTTTTGTTACTGGCTCCTCAGCCCTAGATGGGAAGTTATGTGACAACTGGGGGCTCGTCTGTTTTTTTTTCCTTTTGTTATATCGATCACAAGTGCAGTATGGAGTACCTCGAGGCTCAGTACTAGGGCTGTAACTTTTCACGCTTTACATGTTACCCTTGGGAGAAATCATCAGGAAACACAGCTTTCACTGTTATGCTGATGATACTCAGCTCTATATTTCTTAGCGGCCCGGCGAAACATACCAATTTGAAAAACTAATTGAATGCATAGTCGATATAAATAACTGGATGATGAGTAATTTCTTTCTGCTTAATTCTGAAAAAAAACAGAGGCGTTAATTATAGGACCTAAAAACTCTGCATGTAATAACCTAGAACACTGTCTAAGACTCGATGGCTGCTCTGTGTGCAACCTAGGTGTGCTATTTGATAGCAATCTTTCCTTTGATAGCCACGTTTCTAGCATTTGTAAAACTGCATTTTTCCATCTCAAAAATATATCTAAATTATGACCTATGCTCTCAATGTCAAATGCAGAAATGTTAATCCTTGCGTTCATGACCTCAAGGTTAGATTATTGTAATGCTTTATTGGGTGGTTGTTCTGCACCCTTAATATACAAACTCCAGCTGGTCCAAAATGCAGCAGCTAGAGTTCTTACTAGAACTGAAGAGTAGAGTCTTGTGCTTCAGAAGACCAAGAAACATTGATGTTATGCTAAATGTTGCTTTATTTAAAGGCAGTAACTGTGTATTGCTGATGCAATGATAGTTAAATTAGCTCAAGCATGTGTGCTGTTGCTAGTTAATGGTTAAATGCATGAGATTTACATTTTACAGAAAATGTTTCACATTCAAATGAAACAAATGTTAGATTTAAACCCGTTAATTCTCAATAAGAACTTCTGTAGACCTCTAACAGAAAAAAAGTCTATCTAGTTAGTAATAAGTGAAGCTGGTAAAGCTGTTTGTGGAGTTGTTTAATCCTCCTCTGCTGAGATCTTCAGAGATTTAATGTCTTTTATCTTCAGTTGATTTCATCTAAGTCATTTGTAGTTTTTGAGTTTCTGTTCTCTTCTTTCCTTCAGTGGTTTTGCTTTTGTTAAAAAGCTTTGACAAGCTCTTATAAATAATATATAAAGATTTTGTGGCTCAGATAAGGTCCAGTGTAGTTTATTTCTTTGCTCATATTCATTCCACATGTGCCAGATGTGGGCCGGACCTGGGCCGACATTATGTTGCTATCTGGTTTTGTGCAGCCATTAACATCTCCATCGGCAACATATTCTATCAACACAAACCATTCATAAAAAGATCTGGCCATTGACTATATTTGCATGTCAAAGATGTGGCAATGACACTGCGTGATGTTAAAGCATGACGAGGGGCCACCGTCTCCAGCATCTCCCCACACCACCGAAATGACAATGGCTAGGTTTGTCACCAATGCCTTCCAGATAGAACATCAGAACCAGTTTTAGGCGCTTGAAGAACTAACCAGCCTTGAAGATCAGTGGACACTGTTTCAGGTAATGGAAGTAGAAAGTACCAAGATGGGGTATTGTAGATGATGAGGCTTGTATAAAGAGTGGTAGATTAGTAAACAGTCCTAGAATCTGATCAACAAATGCTGACGTGTAAAGCAACGCTGTGAGCAAGCACCAACCTGAGAGGCCCAGGAGTATGCTGTTAACCAGTATCACACCCTAGATCACCAAGTCAAATGGAGCTTTTGGCAAGACAAGCGTGCATGAGTTGAGAAACAAGGCAAAGAAGCGCAATGAGCAGAGGATCATAATAACGCAAAGACACTCTACCACATTGTGAGTTGTCTGGAGCATCCAGCAGGGGAAACTGCTGCTGACCAAAGAAGCACAAGAGCAAAGGTACATTGTAACATTGTGGTAGTGCTAAATGCGTGTGCATTTCTCAACGTGCAGTGCATGCGTGTTCTACGTCAGCAGCACCACACACATGGGTCGTGATACTTTTGATAATGGTGGCAGATGGTGATGTGGGGGAGAAGAATTGTTGAATAAAGTTGTTATTTTTGTTTTCTGTGTGCACAAAAAGTATTATTGTAGCTTCATAAAATTACGGTTGAACCACTGATGTTAGATTAACTATTTTAACAATGTCCTTACTGTGTTTCTGGGCCTGGGAACATTTCAGTTACATTGCTGTTTATGTAGAGTCAGAAAGTGCTTGGATTTCAACAAAAATACCTTAATTTGTGTTCCAAAGATGAAAAAAGGTATTATGGGTTTGGAACAACATGAGGGTGAATAATTAATGACAGAATGTTCATGTTTGGGTGAACTATCCCTTTAACAATACAGATAAATACTGTATAAAAGTACAGTATTTTTTCTGTATAAAAACGTGAAGTGCTGTAATTTGTCATAATACTTAAAATAGCAGCCAAGTAGTTAATTTAGTGGTAATTTTACAGAATTTTGCAGACAATTTAAAGAAAACAACCAGAAAAAAAATCTATATTTTTTTGTAAAATTGTGAAACATTTGTGTAATTTTACTTCTTACTCAAAACCTTGTAATTACTAAGATGTGATGATACTCACAGTAGTTTCTGCAGCTTACAGTGTGGATCCTCCAGTAGAGCAGAGAGCATCTTCACTCCTGAATCTCCTGGATTATTACAGTTCAGATTCAGTTCTGTCAGGTGTGAGGGGTTTGATCTCAGAGCTGAAATCAGAGCAGCACAGCCTTCCTCTCCAATGCTGCAGTCCCACAACCTGCAGAGAGTGAAGAACATGAATGATCTCTGAGATTTTGTTTAAGCTCTGGGGTTAGACAATGTTTGTGTGACATGGAGCGGATAAAGTTATAAAAACGGTAACGCTCGAGCAAATATTCATTCGGATATGAAAACACATCGATATGTGGCCTTATCACCCTCTCGCAGTGCAAAAAACCTTGTATAATCTGTGCTTCTACATCCACAGGATCGTCATCAAAAGGGCACGCCATGCTGAGTGACCTCTCTGAAACAAACTTATTTGCACACCCCTGCCTTAGTCTGCTGTCAGTTTTTTTGTTTAAAGAGACACTCCACCCCAAAATGAAAATTTTGTCATTAATCACTTACCCCCATGTCGTTCCAAACCCCTAAAAGCTTTGTTCGTCTTCGGAACACAATTTAAGATATTCTGTATGAAAATCGGGAGGCTTGTGACTGTCCCATTGACTGCCAAGTAAATTACACTGTCAAGGTCCAGAAAAGTATGAAAGACATTGTCAGAATAGGTTAAATCGTAACATTATGAAGTGACGAGAATACTTTTTGTACGCAAAGAAAACAAAAATAACAACTTTATTCAACAATTAGTCTCCTCTGTGTCTCTCTGCATCACCATTTTGGAAAATATCCACTGAACGCAAGCAGCGTACGCTCTTCTGTGTCAGCCGCGCTGCACGGATGCTCTGTTTTTGTTCAAATCAAAGCGTAACTACACATAGAAAACGCATACTTGTGTTGCGGCTGACACAGAATAGCGTACACTGCTTGCGTTCAGTGTCTGTCAGACTATCTGTGGTAAAATAAAGATACCATGAGAACAGTGATACTACCACGGTTGAGGAGAGCTGTTAGGCATCATCTTAACAGGCATGAACTCACTGTAACACACAGGCTCACAAGCATCATTACATAGCTAAAAACAAACACTGAATCAATCAATGGTTGGTTATTGTTAAATATATTGACACAGAATAGCGTACACTGCTTGCGTTCAGTGGATATTCTCCAAAATGGCGCTTCAGTGGTGCGGAGAAACAGAGAAGGCTAAAATAGTTTGTGTTCTTATTTCTCTTTCTTTCAGTGCTTGTTCACAGCAGGTGTTTGAATGATTGAAAGAATGTTTCAGGAACATTATACTAACCTTTAAATAACATTCTACTAACGGTAACACTTCACGGTAAGGGTACATGAATTACCATGAATTCATGCATAAATTAATGTGTGAATTATGCATTACTTCATGCATTAATATCTCATGAATTATCAGGAACTAACATGAGTTCAAAGTCTTTCATTCATGACTTCATGGATGAACAACACCTTAATTAAGACATTAAGTAAGATGAGTACATCATCATGTTTTATAATTTATTACGCATGATCATGATGTTTTCTTTGTTCACAAAAAAACAAGGTCTTTACTATTCATTGTGGATAAAGCTATGCTTATGGTACATGATTCAAAAAAGCATTATTTCCTGCATGTAAAACTACTTGAATTATTAAAGGAATATACAAAAATCCACATTACCTCATGCATGCATACAGGCTAGAACAGTATATCCATTAATGTGAGAACTAATGTTTTAAATTAAATATGATATGAGTTATTAAGCATGTTCATATCTTCTTCATAGTAGCCTGCCGGTAAATGGACAGAGCCCAACATTGGCCAATCACAGCACATATCACGTGAATTCTGTTAACATCCAAATACAGTAGTCATCATTACCTAAGCATTAGCTTCTCATGATTTCATCATGTTTGTGGCCCCTCAACTAAAGTGGTGACTTGGTCCTTTGGAATACTGACCAAGTGTATTAATTTGGTGTTATTAATGATGGCATAATTGTGAAATGACATGAAAATAAACATGAAAGTTCAAGCTTTTGCACACAATGTACTGTGGACACAAAGGGACTTTGATCAAAACTTTCTGCTTTATTCTTAAACAGTATAACCCAGTTAAATCAACAGCAATGCCTGGGAAGAGCTGAGAAGATATTCAGTACATATACCATGAACTTGAAGTGCCTGTATATCTGAAAACTCTTTACAAAACCATAAAGGTGGTTTACAAAACCATAAAGAATTTTAAAAAAAATAGATGAAACAAACAGCTTGGTCTTTTTAAGGTAAGGAGACATATTTTAATGTAACAAGCAACCAATGTGGACTCATTAAATATTTAATGTTGAACAAAAATAAACTGATCAAATAAATGGCACAAACACGGCAGTACATATACAGACTTGTCCTTTGTAGGGTATAGAGTGCAGAAAACTGAATTATATGTTAGTTGCAGGGGTTTAAAGCTTGAGCTATCTTAAAGATAAAAGAAAAAAATGTATGGTTTAAATTTTACCTCCTGACTACCAGCTATGGAGTGTTGTCCTCTGTAGAGGACATTATGTTTTAGCAATTTCTCTGAGACTTTACATGTCACAGTTTTAAGTCTGAATGTCCTGTACAGAGCACATTCAGGGCTTTTCAGAGATACCAAATGATTGGATGTTTCACCATGACCACTCCCTCTCCTTGGTCTTAAAAAATGGCTGACATCAATTTAGTGATCAAGTGTAACACCCTTATGGAAATAT